AAATAATTCTTTGTTGTTTTTTTTAGTTAAAAATCTTCATACTTTTATTTTAAGGCAAATTTTCTAGTTAAAGCAAAAGAACTGTGCAAATGCTTTGTTTTTAAATTAGTGACTAGGGTGTGGTATGGTACTATTTTATTAATGTGTTCTTTCTTTTAATGTTCTCAAGTTGAGCTGATGATTAAATACGCATGATTTGTCCTTTACTGCGGATGCTGTGAAAATGTCAACTGAAAACAGCATTTTAAAAAAAGCTGTAGGAAGGATGACGGTGGAATATCCCTCTCCAGTTATGCCCTGGACAACTGTATATGCTTACTGTGTGAGTTTTAAACCATTCTGAATTGTCTTTTTAATTATTTGTGATTTATATACCTTCATACCTTTACAAATATTTTTGATAAATAAACAAGAGAAAATTTGAAAAAATGTTTTATTTCCCATTGCTGTTTACATGTGGTAGTTTATTGAAATGCTACATTCAGTATATTGTCACTTATTCCCAATCTCCAGGTTATGGGTAATCTCTATATTATATGAGACAAAAACCCATTTCTTTCTACTGTGCTTAAGATAAAAGTAGCTCTGATGTTAGCTATGAGTTATCAATAGACACATAACTGATGTGCATTTGTCCATATTTGGTAACTCTGAATGTTTTTTTTTTTTTTTTTTTTTTTTTTTTTTGCTTTTTTGAAATTTAGTTTCTGCAGAAAAATGTACTTTAGAAAATATGTTATAATAAACAGTACAGTCTAGGAGTGTGATTTTGATCAGGAAGAATCTTATTTTAGTCATCTACAAATGAAACAACAGAGAAGAGAGTGCTTTTAATAAATGTAAAAAATAGCCTGCCATAGTCCACTTCATATAAACCTACGCATTATCTCAAGCAACAATCTTCTCCTTTACCATCGTCTTCTCCTTTGTAGCCGTAGCTCTGTTTCTTTGTCCTTTAAACACATTATCCTCTTTTTTTTTTATTTCTTGTAAAAATATCAAGCTCCAGTGGGGTAAAATAAGCACTTCCTGTTGATTGTTGTCATGGGGACTCGTCTATTTGGGGCACCACTGATGATGGCTTTTTAAACTTGTCACACACTCGCTTAACTCTGAGTCTACCTACTTTGGGTTGATTGAACTAATTCATACCAGCTGTTGTGAAACTGAAAACTCATAGTTCCCGAGTTTAGGCTAGATCAATTTAGAGTTGTTTGAATCTGAGTTTGTTAAACCTTCTTCGTGAGACGAACCCCAGATGATCAAAATGAACCCCTCTGGTGGTTCTAGGTTAGGGGTCGGGAACCCGCGGCTTTAGAGCCGCATGCAGTTTTTTAGCGCCTCCCTGGAGCATTTAAAAAAATTTATTTATTTAATAATTAATTGATATTATTTATTTATTTTTTCACTTTTTTTATTTTAATATGGTGTGGAGGAGGTCAAACAAACATTCAATATGTTTTCCAATGCTGTAAACATGTGTATAATAAATAAATGTAAACAATAAATGTAAACATTTCTTTTTAATGAAAATTTGCTTCATAGCCATAAAAATCAGTGGTCATAGCCTGCAACACACATCGTGGTGCGGTGCCAGGCAACAAAGCAATGGGTGTGTCTCGGGCGATGGATCCCACAGGGAAAAAAGGAAGATACCTGATGAGAACAGAGAATTCAAAGAAGAATGGAGCGGATAATTTGCTTACATTATGAGTGCGGGATTTTAAGGATCTCAAAAAATAAAAAGAGTAATTTGGAAAGGCATTTCCAGGGAAGGCATGCTAAATTTGCAGCCAACCACAAAGTTGGGAGTAAGAAAAAATGTGTGATTGCAGTACTTCTAAATAAATTAGAGGAGAGCAAAGATAGATTCAGTCATCCCACAGTGTAACCTGGATTACTTCACCATCCTCCACATCTTCTACTTAGCCTGGATCTGTAAACTCCGTCTCCACCATAAAACCACCCACAATCCTGGATCTGCTTATGTATCCTAACTTCTTCTTCAACAAACTTCTGCTCTTTCCCCTTGCTACTTCTCCATTGGATCACCCATAAATTCATATTTTCTTGGGTAAGAAAAATATAATTTATTCCCATCACTGTTTTCTCCTGAGAGTCCTTCTTGCATGTGAGTCAGAAAGCTGAATAAAACCATGATAGTGTGAAGGAAAAGGAACACATCTAAATGTTAAAAAAAAGCAACAAATTTAAGTTTGGGCACACTTTTCCTTGTCTCCTGTCTGGCGATGTGGCAATATAAATAAAATTGTCTTGATGCCAAAAAAGAGCCAAACAGATTTTACCTTGTGATAGTGTTCCGCTTGATTTATGCATATAAATACCTTTATTATGATTATGCAGGGAGTATTACAGATAATATGGACACTGCAATGTAAGTAAAACAGGAAGGGAAAAGAGGAAAAAGGAGAAAAGATTAAATAAAAAGGAGATATAAGGTAGACAATAGACAATAATAAAAAGTCTTAATAATAAAAGAACAACATAACGAATGTAGTACAGTATAAGATATATAATAATGTGGCACTTTGATAATATCTCTGAAGTATAAGTAGTATTATCTAATCTGACATGTATACTGTGGTAGCTGAAGATAAGAATATGGGCTTTTTGCATGGAAGTGGATCTTTGTATGAAGTACCTGGAACCAAGCACCTGTAGTTGTTTGTGAGAGTGCACTTGCAAAAATTATTAGTGTCTTTTCCATTTTGTATCATTGTTGTTGTTTCCTAGTTACTGGTCTATTGTCCTTAGGGGCAATTGTTGCAGAAAAGTAATTGATTCCTTCCCACTATCATTTCAATACCCACTTCATGCACGGGACAAAACATCTCGACCGGGTAGCTAGGACAACAATTGCCCCTAATGACCCCCCTTTCAGTGGCATAGACCAGTATCAGGTATTGCAGGCTAACAAAGAAACCAAAAAGACTCCCCATTTCTAAGGGGTGGACCCATTCATCTGGTTCTATTTGCATGTTTTCTAAGCCAAAACAAGTTTGTGGGCTACTATATAAAGCTTCAAACTCAACACTAATTCTGACATTTTGAATTGAAAAATCTTCCTGGATGGGAAGCAAAATGCCTTTAAACTTAGAAACAAAGTCCACTGGATTTTATTTTATTTTTTACTTTTTTAGAAGGACTATGACCTGGATGACTGA